CTGAGATTAAAGTTGAAATGTTGAGTTTAAATCTGGATTCTGAGAAGTCAGACTTCAGAGGAAAGTCAGAAATTAAAGAAATAAAAAATCTGATTGATGAGAATAAAGTCATAATTCTGACTGTTTCCTGTGAATTCTGATTTAATCTCAGATTTCTTTCAGATTTTTAAAAAAAAAATTGATTCATGACACAACATTATTTTTTCTGAGGCTTTAACCTTCTTCTGTAGTAAGACAATTGAAACTTGTGGGTGGATGCAGTGTTGCTCCGTTCTGGCATCCTCTCCTCCCATGCCTGCCAACTCCAAGCTGCCCACATGTCACATACAGTAAACACAGCAGACTGGCCAGGGTAGCTCACTGTGAGAGCAAATAGTGCTCAGAGGTCACTGAATGTCACTCAGCACAAGGTAATTAAGGATTATGCTATTTGTCATCACAAAATAAATGAAGATTTTAAAAGATCCAAACTGTTTAGTTGCAAGAAAACCACAAAAGTGACAAACATGTCAGTTCAGTTGTATCTGTTTAACACAAATGTGCAACAACAGTCACCTCAAGGAACTTCATATTGTAAAATAAAGACCCTAGAGTACAAAAAACAGGCAAGCAAACAAACAATAGGGAAAGACCCTTTTTGCAGAGTGCATACTTTTACTAGTAAATATCATGACCGTGTCAACGATGCTGAAACGAAAGCACTTTTGTGTTAGCTGTGCATTTTTTCCCCAAGAAAAGAAGAGGATAAAAACTTTGTTGTGAATTTTTTCCCATATAAGGTCAAACCTTGCCCCCTGTGGTGTCTGGAGAGCTGAGGGCCCAGAGAGGGAGCCTGATTCACCTTGACTGGTAACCATTGGTAACCGTCATTCACCACACCTAGGAACTTTATTTTTGTGAAGCTGCTTCAGCACAATTCCTGTGCTCAGTCTCTTCCTTATGTTAGCAGAAGGTCGTAAACTATAATGATTTATTACTATACATATAAGAAAGTATAAGCAGCTTTTAAAACTTGAAGCTATTTGACTACTAGTGTATCACATGTGACAACTAGGATATGTTCCACTCTCATCCCCGCCTTCCACCCACCCCAAATCCTGAATTAGACGGATAAGAAACCCGGGAGAAAGAAACTGGATGGATGGCAAACACAGCTGCTTTCATTTATTTACCCTACAATTATTCTAAAGCATAATGTTTAGTGGAAATAGGTAGGTAAATGTCAGCAACACTCCAAATGACAGGAGGCGTAATCAGACAGAGCAAATGCACGCTTCTGTGTGGGTGAGCAGCATCTCTCATGTGCGCTGTTTAGCTATAGAGTTACATGCGATAGAAGGGATAAATGCAACGTCACTGCTTAAAGACTACGCTTGGATTATTCAACTCTATGCAATGTATCGGTGAAGAAAATAGCCACATTAATATTATACACATTATATCTCAAAGAAAAGCACTCCTCATAGTAATCAGATTACTGCTGCAATATCTTCTTATTAAATTAGTCACACATTCCCTCAATATCTAATATTGTTTGAAGTCACATGACAAGACAGCATTTTACACAAAAGGTGTTTATCTAGTGAGGGTCTAAAGTAGAACAAAGACTCTTAGTTTTAAATGTAATAGAGTTAAAATTCTACTTTTCTTACAGAAACGTCAACGCAGGCAAACAAAGCTGTTCATACTGGGTCACGTGGCTTCTTATCGCAGCTCTACTCCCCATCTTGCAGAGATGATAAAATCTTGCATAGCTGCAGCTTTTAAGATGAAATACGTTTAGTTTCAAGTTATAGCCGATGGAAAAAACACATGCAGCGCATTAAAAATTCAACTTTTCTACATTAAAAAAAAAAAAAATCAGTTTAGGGGTCAAAACATGGGCTAAAAAGTGAAGCAGAGAAACGACCCTGCTGATTATGTGCACAGTGTGCTGCTCGGAGCGTGGGTGCTGGGGTGTTTTCTACTGCTATAGTTGGATGAACACTTGAGGAAACAGTGGATCTGTCCTCTGCGATCCTGCGCGCTGAAGTTGGACACTCTG